AAACTGTATCCTTACTGATTGGAGCAGTAATGTGCAGCACAGAGATGGAACTTCCTTACACTTCTTCATCCTTTGAAAAAAGGTAGTTGCAAAACCCACTGCAAAGCGCCCAGAACCTCACAGACCATGGTGTTTGCTCTGCTCTTAGTGGTTACCCCATTTCTTTCTGTGTTTGAATGTCAGAGCAGCTCCCGTCATCCACCCCTCTTAAACCCACCAGAATCTCTCACTAACTTTAACTCTGCAAAGGTGAGTTACTGCTTAATTGGGCAGCATGAGCAACCACTGCTTGAAACTGTTGGCTTTTGCATTTCCTGGCTTCTCTTGGGGTCACCTGCATCTTCTCCAAGATTGCCCCTTTCCCTGGATTTATGCAGCACCCAGTGCCACTGATATGGCTGGGAAGACTTCTGTTGTATGAGGTCACAGAACTGTCCTGCTCAAATCTGACCAGTTTGAAGGAAATGGAAATGGAAATGGAAATGGAAATGTATTGTTCACAGAACAAATAGTCAGCACATGGGAGAGAGTCTCACAGACAGTGGTGCTGTTGGGGAAGATGTGCTGTTTCACAGCAGCCAAGGAAATTGCCCTAAATTGGTATCCTCTACTGCCACTACTTTCCTCCAACCTAGGAGTACTCCTCTGCTGGTGTGCAGCCTCGGGCTTGCATGGCCAATATGCAGCAGGCAAGGAAGAGGTGAGAGGGGACTGTTGATCCTGGGTCTGGCAGAGCATCATACATCATCTTTGCTGTGTGAGGAGGGGCAGCTTTTTTGTAGAGAACAATTTCCTGTGCTCACAAAGAGACTCGTGTGACATCCTCTGCCATGGTGGAGAGGGATATTTTATACTCTTCTGGTGCCTTTCACACCAGAGAGGAATTCAAAGTGCTTTTAAGACTATTTTCATAGTCTTGAGGAAGGGATGGGCAGTAGGTTTTGCATGAAATGTCCTTTCCTGCCAGGAGAACAGCACCCAACTGTGGCAGCTACAGTGCTGGGAGCCAGAGCTTTTCCAATGTACTGACGTCTGCTTGCCAGCAAAGCAGCACCCCAGTACAGTGTCATTTCAGGAGTCTGGAGGAAGAGCTACCCAGAATTGTTTTGAGTTTTTTAGAAGCTATTTTGAAGGAGAATGGATTAAAGGAGAGGAAATAGTGCAGACATGGAAGGTAGGCAGCTGCATTTTAAGCAGGCAGGGCAAGTATAGCTTTGAGGTGATAGCAGGGAACAGACTGCAGATGAATTTCGGTGCATAATGCCATCATACAGATACAAAACACTTCTCTCTTTGACAGAGAGATCTTTCATATCAATCTACTGATGAAACAATGCTTGGTTGAAAGAAACTGCATAATTTTGGTCTGGTGGCACCTGGCATATTCCCTAGTCCTGGTTCCCCAGGACAGCAAGGCTATAGAAAACATGAAGAATATGGAAAACCAATAAACTTTCTCCTAGGATCCAAGCCAGAAGACTGTTCTTCTGGGATGATCCAAATGTCTTTAACTAAACTCCTGCAACTGAGAATGGCAGTTTTGTTGGCATCTGTTAGTCACAGCACAGAAAGGCAGCAGGTTGTGTCACCATCCTGACTTATAAATGATGGTCACAGGGCAGGGAGGCTGTGGCAGAGGCAGAAGATTTGGTGGAAGAGGAAGGATCTGCTGTAGTGAAGAGACATGGGAGATTGGACAGGGTGATCCCATGTCAGTCTGTGGAAGAGGGCAGGTGTGGGCAGCTCACCAGTGGCTCCTGATGACACTGAGGAGGGCAGGCAACTGGCAGCTCCTCATCCTGCAGTCTTTGTCTAGAGCTCTGTAGCCATCCACTAGCCTGTCTTGGATGGCTTCTCCAGTGTCATCCCATGTTCATGACCACATCTATCAAGCAGTGCTGGCATATGGTGTAAGTCAGGAACTGCATGGGAGAGCAACTGCAGGTGACCCTGGCTGGCATGAGCCATTTCCAGTGGTTTCTGGCTGCTTTCTGCCTTTGCTCAGTCTGGTGGTGGAAGATGTGTGTCCAGCCCAGCCTAGAGGCTGTGGGTCACACTTTGATGTGCCCCCCTTTTGCCAGCTATGCCAGCTTGGCTCGCTTGCCAAGTCCATGTTCAGCATGGCAGATGTCAGCAGCAGAGCCAAAAGATTGCCAGGGTGTGTTGGAGTCTGTTCACAAAGCCTGCAAGGAGATGGAAAAGGTCATTTTGTTTGGGGCAGGGGAGGAGGAAAGAGGCACAAGGCGTGATGCCATGTGGATTTCTTTTATTCTCTTGAGGAAAAGAAAGCATCTCTGCAACAGATGATTTGATGATTCTGGAGATCTTTTTCAACCTTAATGATTCTGTGATTCTGTGACAGGAGAGCAGAATGGAAATAAAAACTGAGATAAAGAAGAGATAAAAAACTGAGATAAAGAAACAGATGAGCTCCTTAGCAACTTTCTCTTGCATCTCACCTCACTGGGTCTCTTTACTACCAACAGTAGGGAATAAAAAGGCAGAAAAAAAAGCGCCAGGAGAGGAGTTTTGAATGGATGCCAAGATTGATTTAATTAGATGTATTGAATTCGTTAACTTCTGAACGATGTGGCTGTCATGCAGCACAAGTGACAAGCTGCGAGCAGCAACGGCAGCGTGGCACCAACCTGCCAAAAGGCTCAGCAAAGCAGAAGGATTGACCTACTTCCCTGGGCTCCATGGAGAGCACAGGCGACTGCCTTCCTCTTGCTGTGCTCCCTGGAGGGCTGTGCATCCCTCTGTGCATGGCAGAGCTCACCAGCCCAGCATTGCCCATCATGTCCAGCATGAGCCTGGGGCTGGGTAAATGTCCGCGTGCCTTTGGGAGGCAGATCCCTCAAAGCAAGGGCTCCTGCTTTGTGTGCTGACTTCTGTCTTTTGGCTGATACTGATTTACTGCTTCTCCCACCTAGTGTACCCTTAAAAAATACCAGTGTTCTCTGATAATGGGCCTAAATGCTGTTGCAGCTGATAAGGGTGATAAAATCACCCATGCACGCTGCCATGGCAACCTACGGCTCTTTGGTCTTGATGCGTGTCTGCTCTTTGGTATGAGTGCAGATGTGTGGGTTTGTTTGAGACTCAGCCTGGGAATCACCTGAGTCTGGAGGATTTGTTTTCTGTTATGAGCTCTGACATGGATGTGGAGCCACTGAACAGCTCCTTGTCTTGCTGGCCACCCTCAGCGTGGAGCAGAGCATGGTTTCCCTTGTACCTTTCTGGAGCCCTGGCAGTGCAAATTGCATCTTGAAAGATTTGTCAGTGCCAGGAAAGAGGCTTCCAAAATAGAAATTTCTTTCCAAATGAATTCCATAATGGTTGTCAAGAGAAACTGCTGAGTGTCTGCTCCCAGGTGTGCCATCGTGCAATGTGTGCGTAGATCCAGAGTCCTCCCTGCAGTGACCACAGGATCCCTTTGAGATCCTGTGGTCATCCTGGACAGGTGACATTCCAGCTAGAGAAGTCCCAACAGTTGAGTGGCATTCTGATGTACTGCCCTTGGTAGCAGCCATTAGCCAAACTCCACTGCATTTGTTTGAGTTTTCTCCATCCCTCATTATTGTAGATGCAAGAATATGTCCTGTCAAACCATGTCTGTTAAGTGGTGAAGAGAGAATGTGGATTGCCTAAGCTTCCAGCACAGAAGTGGTGCTGCTGTGACAGAGAGTGTTTGCCAAGACCTTTGGAGTTCAAAGACACCAACAGAGATGTTTGTGAAGTGCACAAGTATAGAAGTGCTGCATGAAACCATGGTCTGGGTTGTGCTGAATATTCCTATATGACCAAATGAAATGCTGACATGTAAGGGAAGCTTAGGCACACCATCAGCCTCCTCTGATTATTGTCAGTATTAAGCCCAGATTGGCAGCACCAGGTCAGGTAGTCACCCAATATGGTGGGGACTTGCTATTTCAGTGAGGAAATAAGACAAAGCAGCACTGGGGAAGCCGTCACACAGAGAGGACAACTGGGATGTTGTTTCCCACCACCCAAGCTCAAGCCTTCTCCTCTTCTTGCCTCAAGTGTGGCTTCTTCTCCTAGCCCTACAGCATTGCTCAGCTTAAGGAAAGAACAGTAGCTTGGGTGGGGAGATGAAAGAAGAAATGTTATTTCATTGACCAGTGTCAACAAACTATATGGAAAGAAGAAAAAGAGGATGGATGGAAGGAATCCAGCTGTCTTCTTCTGCAGAGAAGAAATCTCTTTGTAGCATTGAGGCTACTTCCAGGGTTCATGATTCAGCTTTCAGGTCGGTTGTTGGTAGTTAGGATGTTTTCATTTTGACTTCTTCTGTTGACAAGGCAGTAAGAGCTCTGTGAGGACGCGTATCTCTCCATCACATATGACTAATTGTACTGGGACAGCCGTGAGCACAATAACACTTCTGTTTTCCTCCAGAACAGCTCCATTACAGACTGCCTGGTAGCTGAGCCCCAGCAAGTGTTTTTGCAGTTTTGCTGATTGTGCAGCCCAGATAATCTGTGAGAGAGCAAACATGGAAAGTGTTGAATATTCAGCTCAAAAACCAGAAAACAGACTTGTGTCACTGCTTGTCTGAACTGAGCTTTTAACCGCGTGTTGTCAGTGCTTTTCAGGAAAGTCACCTCGTCTGGGACACGTCATCTGGCAGTGAAGTGCTCCCATTTAGGGACAGCCATCAAGAGTTCTGCAAAGGCCAGGGCTCATGGCTAGGCGCTGTTGTCTTTGCAGCTTAGTGTTGTGTTTTACTTTTCCTGTCTCCTTGGAGAGCAAAACCCAATCTGTGCAAAACAGATGCAATTTTAAACAGGATTTGTCTTAGTCTTACACTCAAAAAACTGTCTCCAAAAGAGCCAGTGCATAGCAGAAGCTAGCAGAAGACTTTCTCCAGATGTTTGCTGCTGTTCATCCTATTTCTGCAGCAACCCAGGAGTTTTGGTGCAATGTAAGTACTGAATTTAAATTTCTTGGCATTAAACTGGTTGTCTTCTGTTCCTCAGGGAAACAGCTGTATTTATGCATGAAAACCACACTCTCATTCCTCAAGAAGTGTGTTGGCATAGATGAGCCTCTGACCTCGATGTATCAGCTCAGTGGTCAACAGCCTTATGCAGAAAGAGCTTTGGTGTGCAACTCTTCCACTTGGTGAGTTTAATCTATGTATGGATTACAAAGAAGGTTCTCTACAAGAGGCTATGCAGGTTTAAATCTGCCCTTCCTTTGATGAAATCATTGCTTGTTCCTCAAGGAGATTTGTGATATCTGCATTCTAAGTGTGCAGGTGGGCAGTCTGTCCAACATAGGGAGGTAGCAGAGATCTGTGTGACTCTTCCTCTGTCCCTTTTCCCTAGGAGAGAAGCCAGTTTTCCTTCCTGCAGCAAGGCACCTCTTCTGATTTAGGAGTGCAAGACTACTTGTGTCATGACACTGTCACAAGGCCATAGTTTCTGCCTGGGTGTTAGAGAACACTCCTAATCAGTAGGAGAAGGATGATGCACCAGGAGGTAGCCAGTCAGTGCAGACCTTCTGAGGGCTTTGACTTCTCATAACAAATTCACCAAAGGTCCACTTCATCTATTTCTCCTCTCCTTGCTATGTTGGCTTTATTGTTTGTTGTTTATTGTTGGAAGACAGGAGTTACCTAAGAAGCTCTGGGCAACTGAGTAGAGGAGCTGAGCTTGGGATGTGAACTTGGCAGCTGCAGACACCAATGAGGAAACTGCTCTCCTGAAAGTGTGAGGAATCTCTGGACACAGACAGAGTGTGCACAGCATTGTGACTGTGATCTGCCCGGATGAATGCTCTGTTGATACTCCTTGCAGGGGCTAGTGCATGTGTCTGCAGCTCTTAAAAATAAGGGTGTTGCCCAATGTCCCTGTCAGCCTTGAGCATAGTTCCCGTCATTCCTGCTGGATGCCCTGCGGTGGGAAGAGCAGGCGTGCTGGCTGCCAGTTCAGGTCTAAAAATGATGTCTGTGCAAAGTCCATCCTTGTCTGGACTCCAAGGGGCTGCTGTGCACAAGGCCTTCACACAGTTTCCTTAACAGGCTCCTTTTCACTTTTTCCAGGGACTTGCACTGTGCTTCATTTCAGAGTGATCCAGTGAATTAACATATTGTTGCTGCTGCCTGGGTAATTGCATGCCCAGGGTCTGCTTTGCTCCAGCACAGTCTTCCCGCTTCCCAGACAGAAAGCATCCTTCTCCTTTGGCAAACAAAGATGCAAAGTATTGCCCTGAGGCCTAGCTCAAAGGCTGGAGGAATGAGAGGGTAGAAAGAGGAGCTGTTTCTGAAAGTATATCTGGCTTCAAGAGCTTACCTATCAATGAGGAGTTGGAAAAGGGGTTTTTCAGTCTTTATTTCTGTACAAAAGTACTAATTTTGACTGAAGCTGTGGTTTTCTTGGTGATTTATGCAGGCACTGGTATGGGTGCAGTTGCAGAAATTTAGTTTAGCACAAGTCGCCATGAGGATTCAGAACTGCTCGAAATGAGCTGTCCTGGGTCACACAGGAATTTCAGCAGAAGTTGAAACTGAGTGGTCTGATACTCTCTTTGTACTGAAAATAAAACTCTTTGAATAGGTAAGTGTAAAAATGCTTGCTGGTCTCACTTCCAAGTACAAAAAAATTCACATGTGGAGAAACCTTTAGAGCCTCTAAGTTCCTGTGAGACAAGACCACATCTCAGAACACTTTGGTGAGCATATTATCGAAATGGGGTGTGTTTCTTAATGCAGATGCAAGTTTGCATTTTTGAAAGATGATATTTGGTCAGGACTGACTTCTGGTGGGGAGCTGGCATCCCTTAGGCAATAGTCTCCAAAAAAAAATTGTGTGGTTATGTGCAACATGAGGAGGGCAGCTTTACTTCCTAGCACAGGTTGGCTATCAAACAGATGCATTAAGAGGAGGGGGAGCATCCAAACTCAGAGATAGTGGGGAGGAAGTTGATTTATAGCTCTACCACTATCTTTCTTGGTGACCTGGAGCAAGAAGATGAACTTCTCCTTTTCCACCTCCTCCTCTGTTGCCCACCCAGCACATGTGGCAATTGCCTTGTAGTTTGTATGGGTCCTTCTAAAAAGTTGGAACTTGGTAGTGCTATCTGTAAAGTCCCTTTTCATCTTCTCAGTTGTGAACATTTCCTGTCCATTAGCAACATAAGCTTTTTTGACTGAAAGGAAGAGATTTTTCCAACACTCTTTTTGACACAAGGGATGGAGAGGATGATGTGGCCATGTTCACAGTGTAGCTGGGTCATCCTGCACCAGAGTTGTGCAGTCTATGGGGCAGAGGGAAGGCTTCTTGAGGCATCTCCATCCTCTGGAATAGAGGCTGCAGCCTTGGGCAGTATATGGAGAGCCCTTTTGTGATTTGCCTAGCCATGGGCCTTAGGGAATCCCACTTGTTCTGTAACATGTGTGGGTATTTATGCGCACACACAAGGAAGAAGGATGGACGTGTGTGTGCTGCAGGTGGGATATGGACAAAGGTTCCTTTGCCACTGGCACCCCAGCTGGGAGGAGCAGTTGCATGTGGGCCACTGTGGGACTGCATGCAGGACTGGGGTTTGTTGTGTCCTGAGAGGAACACAGGCACAGTGCCCAGGGATGCCTTCTGGGCCTTTGTGGTCTTGGATGTGGTTGTTTCTCTAACTCTTTCACTTGGGGGACATCCCAGTCCCCGAGTGCTAAGTGATTCCCACCCTTCCTCCAAAGCTCTTGCACTGGTGGCAGTTAGGAGATGTAGGGTAATACAGGCTGAAAGGGATCTTGGGTGGGTCAGCTGTGAGATCAGACCAGGCTGTTTGTGACTTTGGTCAAGTCCTGCTTTCGGTGAACTCGGCTGTGTTCCCAGTGACCTCTCTGCAGGTGCTGGGGCTGCTGCTGCATCCCTCAAAGCCATCTCTTGCTCTGGCTGTACAAGCCCAGCTCCCATAGCTTCTTCTCTTTGGGCAAGTCACCAGTGCTCCTCCACTGCACTTGATCCAGTTTGTCCCTGTGTTTCTTGTACCAAGACAAGATGCAGTGTCCAGATGGGCTCTAATGAGTGCTGAGATCTCCTGGCTATTTCTGCTCCTGCAGCCCAGTATGCTGTTGGGCTTTGCTGCAGTTTCTTTCCTAAGGTCCAGGTGGCCTGTGGTACCAACAACTGTCCCAGCCCTTGAGGAGTTGGCAGAGCTGCTGGGACATGGGGCTGTGCCTAGATGATTGCTTAAATAGGACCCCTGCAACTGTGTTTGGAAAGCCTGAGTGTTTCTCAGCAGCCAGGAGGGAAGAGGAACACAGAGGAGCCCTGGGGTGGCAAAGTCTTCTTCTCCTTGCTAATGGTGTGGGCTCCCATAGGGAGAGACACAGAGCCCAGACAGATGAGTTCTGCAGAAAAAAAGCAGAGAGGTGTAGTGTTATAACTACCACTGTCCCACTTACTCATCTGGAAAGCAAGATTTTACTCGCTGCTCTGCTTGCCGTGGGGCTGTGACTTGATGGCCATGGACTGCTGAGGTCCTGCAATACCAGTGCACAGGGCTGTGGAACATACCTCACTGTGCTCGCTGCTGGGCTTGAACCCCTGGACCCCTGGAGCCATGTGCAGAGGAATAGTGTGTATGTATGCCATACTCAAACAAAATGCTGCAATTCTGTTCTGTGCTGCCAAGTTGGTGTGTGAGTTTCAAAGCAGCAACCTATATTTTTGAAGATTCAAGAGCCTTGGGGAAAGATCTATTTTTTAATGCTGTACTAATTTAATAAATGTCTTTTTTTAGTATAGGAAGGTAGCAATAAAAGACAAAAAGGAGAAAGAAATGACAGAAAGACCTGTACAATCATTCTAAAGATTTTCTGTTTTTCCATTCATGTTCTTTTCAGGAAATGAAACTGGTTATATATGGTATAGGATTGAAACCACATATCACAAGCCACTGTCAAGTTCATGAAGTGACCACATTGAAAAAATAGTGAAAAATGGGTTCTTACTGGTGCCTTCCTAGCCTGTAGGAATCCTGGCTGCGGCTTGTGATTGTAGTAGGGTGAAGATTTGCATTTTCAAATTGGTGGTTTTCCTTTTTGCTCTTCCACTTCCTATAAACTAATTTAATGCAGTGTTAATTGTGAATCTAGAATGCAAATCGACTCACCTGCTTGTTTTTTCTTTCATTTTCAGATTTTCTAAGTATGGAAGCTCTCCTGAGGAGCTGCATTATGTGCTGCTGGCCCTGAGATGGGATGCAGAGCAAGGAGTGAAGAAGAGCTGTGCCAGTGCTTTTGTGAGGAGAGGGGCTTTCCGGCACGTCATATGGTAATATGACATTTTACTCTTAGCAGCAAAAATCCTTATCCTTCTTGTTTGTTTTTTTTTTTTTTTTTTTTTTTTTTTTTTTGTTTTTTTTTTTTTTTTTTTTTTTTTTTTTTTTTTTTTTTTTCCAGGACAGATGCTATTTCCCGTTAAAGATGCTTTGTATGCAAATCAAGGTGATACAACAAGAAAAAAGTCCTGAAAGCAATCACGATAAACTCAGCCCACTGGGGAATTCCTGCTTATCATTTATCTTTTGTTTTTTTCAGTTCTGTACAAGATACTTCTTTGCCTGTGCTTTCTTACAGTCTTTAATGTTTGTCCTGCCAGACCTCTTGCTTACGAATTACAGTGCTTGCATTTTTCAGGGCTCTGTGTCAATCTGCACAAACAAAAGGCAGTAAGTGCTGGAAATTGGGGTTAACAGTCCCTGTGTTTCAGCTTGATCTTGCATTGATCCAGTGCTTTCTTAAGTTCAAGCCAGACATGAGCCTCACATTACAGATTGCCATGTGCCTGTAGTGATGATCTACTGGAAAGGTGATCCCAGAAACCTCAGGAATGAAAAAAAAAGAGAGATAAAAAGCAAAAAGAAGCCAGCAAAAATTGTACCTAGTAAGTTAAATAGGAACAGGGTTTGACCTCAATAGATGGTGTGGGCAGCACTGCACTAATGCAGTAACATGAATTGATCACCTCATTGCTCCAGCAAGGCATATTCACATAGAATCACAGACTGGTTTGGGAAGGGACTTCAAAGATCATCTAGTTGAACTCCCTTGCCATAGGCAGGGAGACCTTCTATCAGACCAGGTTGCTCAGGGCCCCTTCCAACCTGGCCTTGAACGCTCCAGGGGTTGGGCATCCACAACTTCCCTGGGCATCTGCTCAGCCTGTGCCCTATAGGTGTCCCTATAAGTGGATGGTGCTGCTCAAAGCCTTGCTCTCACCAGGCTGCCACCCTGCTGATGTTACAACAAGCTGTCAGGGTGAAAAAAAGACTCAGAAGCAGAAAAGGATGTGTCAGAGAGCTGCAGAACGGCATTGCCAAAGAACATTCTGTGTGTCCAGAGATAGCCACTGCAGCCCAGGTCTTGTTGAATCATGCTGTGGTTGTTCTGGCCTTTGTGTGGGTAGCAGTGATAATCATTGTGTGTGGTGTTGGGTTTTATTATTCCTTTTTTTTTTCCTTAAATATAAAATGAACAGTCAAATTGGTATTGGTGAGGCAGCAAGCCTGGTGCAGCTTTTATCTATCCTGAACCTCGGAACAAAGGAGGGGAGGAAAATGGCTTGACCAGTTTGGCAGCCGTGCACGTAACGGTCCCGGAGTTCAAAGCAAAGGGCACAACAGTCAGGTACCCAAACCCGCCTGGGCTTGGGCTGATAAGTCACATTTCAAAGTAAAAGGCAATCCTGCAGGGGCTCTGCTGAGTGCCTAAAGCTCCAGTGCTGAGTCTTCTTTAAAAGGGGATTTCATAAGGAGTAATATGAACAGAAATGGCTCTTTTGTGGTTTTGCACATTCCAGGCATGCCAGGACTGTTCCTGTCAAGGATGGGCAGTCTCTGGGGTTTTGGCTTCTTTTTCTTTTCTTTTTTCTCTTTTTTTTTTTTTTTTTTAATTTATCCCCAAATATTTGCCACAAACTAGCAGCTGAAATGGTGAAAAATAAATAAGAGTTGCAAAATCATTACAGTCGCAGTAATGGAAACTGTGAAGCTTATACTTAAATTGGCTGTGGGGTTTCACTCCATATTCTGCACTGTTCTGCTGTGAGGATTACTACTTTTACCTGCTATGACCACTTCAGGATGGGTGATTTGAAAGCAGAGCTTTAACTGCTTGAAGTTGGTTACCCAGGACTTCAAAAAGCAGTGCTTTTGGCTTTTTCACCAGGAATACTTTCAGAGTCAGAACCAGGGGACCAAAATACCAATCCTGAGAATTTGTTTTCAGCCCAAGTTTGACCGGAGCACAAATACAGACAGAGAAAGCATCTCTTTGAAAGTGGCAATAGAAGTGACACTGTTGGAGTGAACCTTCTGGCCTGGTTTTATTAAATGTGAATATGGTTACTTAGTGGTGAACAGGAACTGGAGTGGATTTAGGAGATAGGTCCTGAAGCCCCCTCCCATCCTCCAACGCAGGCTGATGTTACAGGGAAGTCTCAAGGCTGTTGCCTGGGCTGTTTTGGGTCTGTGGGTGGAGGAATTTAATCACCAGAATTGCCATCAAATGCTGCCCTTACAAGATACAAGGAAGAAGTGCTTGTGTTAATTCTGTGCTCAACATACATATTTTTCATCTTAGACAAGTCTGGTCTTCTAGCCTTCTGGACTGCTGCCATTTTGGGTTTGGGAATTTTTTTTTTTTCTTTCTCCATCAGTGCTACCAACCACAGAATTTTGGAAACAAAAAGTCCTAAGGGGGGTGTTCAGCGGTGAGCTCTTTTTACTAGGCTGATCTTTTTGGAGTTGGTTTTGAAGTGGATTTTGTTCTGTCCACTCAATGTCTCTGCTGTGGAAATATTTATTGCTGTGAAACTGTAGCAAGCTTTATAAGTGGCAGGAAAAACCACTTTTGTAACCAAACAAATGTGCTTTCCCTACAAGCCACACAGATGTACATTTGGAATTTTTTGTTTTGTTTTGTACCAAAACAGTTTTTCCACTGTGTTATCTGGAGTGGGAAAATAAGTAGACATTGCATTTTAATATAGATTTCATCCATGTAATCACAACAGAAGTGTGCATAGAGATTCTCTGTTATTCTGCTTTTTCTGTGTATTTGCTTAGTGCTTTTGTGCCTTAGAATCTCTGTTTTTCTTCTTTTTGATGGTTTGAGAGGTTTGATAGGGACAACAAAAGTGCTTAAAAGTATTAAGGTCCTTGGGAAAGCTACAAAAGTTGTGCAGTGGTGAAGAGATGCAGGCAACCTGTAGAAGAGCCAGATTTTGACAGCATGGGAAGTGGTTAGCGCCTCATTGGACATCCTCACATCAAAGCTGGACAGTGGGTTGCTTGAAATACTCTGTTTGAACCACAAATTGCTGGGCTTTGGGCAGAAATCACTGTATGAAATTCTGTGGTCTTTATTAGGCAGGCGGACAGACAAAATAATTTTGTTGGTTTCTCTTGGAGAATTTATGAATCACAGTCAGGGTGTTCTGGGGGGGGGTTTGAGTTTCCATGAAAAGTTTGCCGTGGTAGCATGCAGACAACAAACCCAACTGTTCTCTTGTCCTTTCATCATGCTGTGTTGCTTTCGAATTGTTCCAGGAGGATGAAATTGGGCTTGTTATTTAAATTTCAGTATGGGTGGCCAGAGCAACTCTACCTTGGTTTTTATGGACCTCCAGGAATGGATGGTGCCTTATGCCAGCCCTGATTTAACAAACACCTGAGGACCAACTCAGCACTGCAGCATAGCCCATGGGAATTGTGTGCCATGGGATCCTGCAGCAAGGCAGTGTCTGGGAATATCTCCTCGCACTCTTTAGTAGCAAGGATGTAATCAGCCCTTGTAGGCTGGTATCTGATTAAACAGCACAGTGTGGAAAAAATATCAATCCCACACTTGTTTAGGTAGTTGAACATGTGTAGTTGGCAACAAAGAATTTGGGTTCTGTCTGAAGTGTGTGTGAGCCCATCTGGGGAGCACAGTGTCAGGGAGAGAGTCCGTGGGATCCTCATGTGAGAGCGAGCTCGTGATGGAGCTGTGAGACAGAAAGGAACCCTGCAACTCTGGAGAGCAAGTAGGAGCAGGGGTGTGACTTGTGACTTTGTCCTTTTAAAGGGGGACACGCTGCCTGGTGTCTGTAGGCAAGAAGGGAGGGGAAGTGCCAGGAAGAATTCACGGCAAGCCACAGATGACTTGGGCTTGCTTTGACTCCAGGCATGAGGAGTGCAATGTATTTGGTTAATGGGGATGAAGGCTGGCAAGGGGGTGATTTGACTGCCACATCTACAGGAAGAAAGTTTTGATCAGCAGGTTTGGGGTAAGGAGGAACCCTTAGAATTTCTATGTCCTTTTCCAGATTTTAGAGGAAATGTCTCTCTAGCATTGCAGATTTAGTTTAAAATATTTGGCTTATTATGTAGAGATCCTGGGTGAAAGGGACTGATATGCAGTGTAGTGAAGGCAGGATGGATATTTTTGAGTCTTTCAGCCTTCATGCTCAGAGCTCTGGTACTCCTCAGCACCTTCTTCCCTCAAAGAAGGGAAGCACCTTGTTCTACTCTTTTTCTACCCCTCCCTGGGGTAGGGAAGTTCTGCCACAAAACTGGGCATAGCATAAACTGTCAGGAGAAAACGCTTCAGAGCCATTGTGTCTTAAGACAGGTGTCTAAGATAGCTGGCTTTCCCTCTGGTAATGGCTATTGTCCTCCAGCAGCTATGTGGGAGACCAGAAATCTGGCTGAGGTGTGGACTCCTGTGCTTTGGATGGCTGAAGCTGCGTGAGGTGAATGCCCCTCTCACTACCTGTGTGCATGATGAGTTTGTGGAATAAAGAACCTAACAAAGAACTGTCTGACACCACCTGAGATGAAAATAATATGGAAACCTTAATAAGCTCTCTGCAGCTGAGCAGTCCCTGGAGGTCCTGTAGCAAACCTGACCCACTTGCTGAACCCCAGCAGTGCAGCACTGGGCACTCCTCTGCCTGCCTTCAGAAGAATAAAAGGACAGCAGTATGAAAAGAGACAAGTACAGGGCACAGCAATCAGTGGTAAGTCTTTAGTAAGAAAGAGCTGGGGTATTTTGTTTGCTATTAAAAGCAAACCCACCTTCTGCAGCATTTCTGTTTGTGAGGTGCTCAGAAAGGAGGGAGGTGTTGGCAGAGGTTTGTTTTCAACCTGATTGAATGTTTTCCCAGTTCTTTCCCTGCACTCCAGTTCATCCCACCCCAGTCTTTCCAGCCATGCCATGTTGGGAAGCAGCTGTGAGCTCATCCTCAGGGCTGAGTTCTAACATGGTAACTGTCCTGGGGTCAATTTCTTT